TATATCATAGTGAATATATATATATATATGGAGTCTTGTCGCGTAGCTTCTTTAACTTTTTTAACCACAAGAATCCATAAGATACCAACTATTAGAGCAGACATGCCTGGCCCACACTAACTGCAGTTTTAAGGATGGGCAACCTAGTACTCAACACCTCAATTTATGTACTTTATTTATTCATAAAAAGAAAAATAAAAGAAGAAGTAGAAGAAGAAGAGAATGTTAAGATGTATGAGTAGATGACTAGACGAGATCACTAATCAAAGTGTGAGATGAATATTAGAGTTCATTTTTATTGGAGAGAAACTAAACCAGATCACTAATCAAAGTGTGAGATGAAAATTAGAGATCATTTTTATTGGAGAGAAAATTCGAGAGAGAAGACTTTTGGAGACCTGGTGATTATCAAATGAGTAAGAATAGTTGTAATAAAGATAAGAGATGGAAATGACGGCAAAAAATAACAAGGGATGAGGTTATTAAAATGTTAAATATAATAGGTGAATTGACATGTAATAAAAAAGTTTGGAGAGAGATAATTCATGTGACCGACCTATTTATATGAAATTAAAACAAGGATGATAATGAATATGATTTAACCATATAAGATATTTCCCTCATAAGATTATTCTAGAACCAGTAATAACCATCAGTAGACTTCCCTCCATATCAGGTGAAGATATATTGTGTAAGTTGAGTAACATTCACCAATATTTGCTCAGGCTATCCTTTTCATTTCATCATTAAAATAAACATGAAGTCCACTTTCCTTGAAATAAGAGAAAACAAACATTTATGTATTTGTAGTATGGAGCCTTGTACCAATAGTGTACTGGGCATAGCTTCAATAATTTTGTTAATTAACCACAAGCATCCATATGATACCAACTGTTACACTGGCCCACACTAATTGCAGTTTTTAGGATAGACAACCTAGTGCTCACAACTCATCTCATGTACCTTCTGCATTCATAAAACACATTTCTCTCCTTGATTCAACTTTTGAACTTCATAAAATTATTTTGGAACCTGATAAGTGGAAAGATATATGTATTGTGTAAGTTGAATAATAAGATTGGCTCAAAGCCTCCAGTCTAAATGATTTTATGTTAATGTATCAGAATCATTGAAAGTCTTGTCAACTAGCAAGTTTTGGAATCAGTACTCATTTGAAGTATGGAGACAGATACGGGATACGGATGCCAAAGATATGGCGACACAACAAAAGAAAAATCAAATATCAATGGAATGATGGTACGACAATATACATATATATGAGTATACATAAACAAGCTTTTTGTGCCCTTCAAGCATAAACCAGATGCTATGCAACACGAACAGAAACTAGACACCAGATTAAAAATAAAATAAAAATCTGGTGCCTATTACAAACATCTTTGAGGGCTATCGATTAACATATTTACCTAGAGACCTTCATGGTGATACACTTTTAAGACGAGATCTAATCAAGGATAGTTGGAGGTTGAAGCAGCTTTGTGTCTTGCTGCATAGCGGGCCAGCGGCTAGCCAGTGCAAGTGCACTACTAGTGAGTTGTGCAATATAGGTGACCCTATTCTCAATAGCAACCTTCAATTTTCCATCCATGCCTTGGACAGAAAATCCATCAACACAAGTGCTCTCTTTGGTGAGCGCGGTACTGAGTTACTGACCCACGTCTGCACATTGCTCATGTGCCACGAGAAGTCCTGAGCCCTAGCTTTACCCATGTGGCAATCTATTGAGATCATATATGGCATCACCTATGTTGGCGATCTTTCACAGCTTGGTACTCCCTAGGCTTGATACCTGAAGTTTTAGTCATCTTGGAGACGAACACTGCAGCCAATCGAGCCCTGGTCAGGCTCACTGACAGGGAAGCTTGAGTTAATTGTTGATCACTCTGTTGTATTGTACTGGCATAACTCGAGGGAGAGTGAACACATAAGGCAGGATAGCTAGTGGCTCTGCGTGAGGTTTTTATGAAGTTTGTGGTGCTGGAATCTATGGCAACGGTAGGACTCGCAGCCATGGTAACTATGAGATGGAATGAGAAGAGTAATAGCAAGCAAAGGCCAAGTTTTGCCATGTTTATGAAAGGTAGAAATGGACTGGTTTTAGATGATATGACTGAGAGAATGGAAGCTTTTGTTTCAATAAGTTGAGAGAATGGAAGCTTTTGTTTCGATAAGTTGAGAGAATGGAAGCTTTATATAGAGATTCTAAGAGGTTGTCACCTATCTTCTTTAAGGTATACCTATCACCTTCTAAGATTAAATAAAAAATTGTCACATGCCTTCTTCTTTCTAGTTCTTTTCTTTTCTTTATATGCTCATCTCCAAATAATAATAATAATAATAATAATAATAATAAATAAATAAAATAAAATAAAATATTAACCACATAGACACATAAGCACGTACATAACCACATAATTAAATAAAATATAATAAAAATAAATAATTAAATTCCCTTTATATCTTTTTAAAAACCAGGGTATTACAGTTCATTCACCTCTATCCCATAGTCAACCCATTCTTTATATTTTTTTTATCACCCTTTTCTCCATTGCCATAATTGATTCATGATAAACAAATATATCACTTTAAAGTACTTGGTGAGGAGGGTTTTCTTCCCAGTTATCTCTGGCGTCACCACCATTGCCATTGCAGTCGCCATCACCATCAGGTCGTCCTGAGAGACCACTTGTTCTTCTTCCATCGTGGCATTCTCTCCCTCCTCTTCAAGTTGATGAAACCAGTTCTCTAGATCCGCCACTCAATCGATGAACTCATCTAGTTTGTTATTGGTTTTGTGTAGAAGAGTGTTGTCAGGGGCAAAGCCATGATTCAAAGGGTGTAGTGTACTTTAACATAAAAAAAATAAAAAAATAAAAAAAAAAAAAAAAAAAAAAAAAAAAAATTCAACTACCCAATGCTTTTTATTAATTTAATTAGTCTTAGTTACTTTAACAATGCAACATAGTCTTAAGTCTTAATAAAAACAGTGATAAGCATAAATTAATTTCAAAAGAAATGTATAAAAACTAATAATGCAGTAAGACACAAATCCAAAATATAGAAGTGTACCTTTCCAAAAAAAAAAAAAAGTTTATAAAGAATAAAGAAAGAAAAAAAACAGAACAAAGAAAAAAGAAAGAACTTTGAAAGGATTAGAATTTAACTAAAAAAATGGAATATAACATTTTTTTCTAATAAGGAATCAAAAGAATTTAAAAGTACAAGAAAAATTTATCATATATTTTTAGAAATTTAAAATTTTAGGGAAGGTTTTGATAAAATTTTAAAAATAAAGTTATGGGGATTGAATTGCACATCTACCTAGGGAGAAATAGTGTTTTGATGAAATTTATAAAACAACTTTAAGGAATTTTTAATTACGGTTGTTTTTGAAGCGATGATCTCAGTTGTAATCCTAAAAAAGGGAGGATGAATGCGAGAAGACAATATAAGGGTAATTTTGCCTTTAAAAATTCATGTTATTTTACTGGACATGTTAGTAGGACCATTTAATTGTTATATTAATTTGTCTTTTTGTGCCACGTAAATTTTGCTCAACAAATCGGTCTAATTTTTAATATCACGACTCGTTGAGCCTTTTTCATTAGTGAATTATGTCATTAACGGGTCAATGGCCTAGCGGTATTAATCTCTTACTTCTCAAAAGAAAGTCAAGAATTTAAGTCTCAGAAGAGACAAGTGTGTGTGACTACCAACTAAAAAGAAAAAAAAAAAAAAAAATACACTTATACCTTAACAAAATTGCTATTATGATAATATCCAATTAAAAGCTCGTACAAACATGATCCAATGTAATGCCCACCTAAAGCGAATGAGACCTATTGTTGGTGGGTGTTGGATTCGTCCCGAGTTGAACCTAGGCTTTCTGTTTTGTTCAAGCATTCTAAGATTTTATTTTCTTTATTATTATTATTATTTTTAAAGGTAGCATTCTAAGTTCTAACCATTAGACTACTCCTCTTCTTCTTCTTTTCTTTTTTTTCTTTTCTTTCTTTTTTTTTTTTAAAAAAAAAAAAAAATTGACCCAAGCGGACTAATTTATTCTATTATTTCAGAATGATGATATTTTTGTATAAAATGTAGGAATGATAAAGGCATCTGCCATAAAAATCTTTGTGGGAATGATGAAGGCATCTGCCATCTATTTATTTTTATAACACAACAACAGAACAACAGAAAGTATTAAACAATTAACTATATTAAGTAATCACATATCAATAACAAAATTCACCCCCTCTTTACGTCAAGAAAAAAATAAAATACCACGTCAATTTGACCCATCTCCCAACAATATCATAGGAACACTTGAATAAAATTAGAGACAGACCTAGAAATTGTGTGAATATTATAGGAACACTTAAATAAAATTTAAGAGGGACCAAGAAAATTGTGTAAAAGGGCATACAAGTAACTTTTTTCTTTTCTTTGTAATTTTAGGAGATGTTAAAATTTTACAAGTATATAATTGAATATGGGAGAAAAAGACACCGAGTCTACATCTCAGTGAATTATTTTTTAATTTCATCTAAGTTTATATGTGTCTCTATTCATTTTTAATTTTGTAGGAGCAAAATTTATTTTTAAATTTTTTATATTTATAAAAAAGATTTTTTTTTTTAAATATATTTTTATAATAAAGAAGGGATGATACAGTAAGTATCATCTAAATCGTTTAAAAGACAAGGGGCCAAATCCGGGTAGCCCATTGAATTGGAGAGGTCTGTTGGGCCCAAACAAAGACGGGCCTTCAGCATGTCGGCTTCATCTGCAACGGATTTAGGGTTACAAAACATCATCATTACCTTTTGTACTTCCAAAAGAGAAATTATTACGTACTTCTCGAACACTTCCATATTAATAACTAGCTAGCTGACACGTATTCAAAATCAATTAGAAATCAGCTTTGTGCTTATTTGTCAACAACTCATTGGCCGTGATCAAAGACAAAGAGTATGTAATAATATCTCCCATCCACAATTTTAAAATTAAATCGTTACAGGACAATACATATTTACATATGCATCCCAAACAAAGGTTGGATCTTTGTTGTTTCTATGAAGAAACTAGGGCTCCTATTTTGAATCTTCGATCCGAGGTGAGTTTCTTTTTCTGAATTCTGTGTTTTTTTCTTTACATAAATTTCTATTAGATTTAATCTGTAATTTTTTTATTTATTATTTTTCTGGGTATTATGTGCAGAGATTAGTTAGCTATAAATTATGAGTAGCAGAAGGGCTAAAACAGCTGTAACATCAGGTTCAATGAGGAAAAGGATGATAACGCCCATCTCTAAATGCACAAAAAAACACAAGGTAATTCGATCTGGTTTTGTTTGGTCAAATTACCTATGTTTTTCGATCTGGTTTTGTTTGGTCAAATTACCCATGTTATTGATCAGTTTAAAGTTATTGTTCTTCATTATTATTTTTTCTGGGTAATTGGATTATGCTAGTGTTTTTGGCTGAAGCATTCGTATTTACTGTTTTTTATTTTGCAATTTATTTTGGTTCTCAGAGTAACAACTACATGAAAGATTGGATCAGTCGGCTGCCTGATGAAATTCTTGTTTCTATTTTGTCTCTTCTGGGAATTAGAGAAGCCGCACGCACTTGTGTACTCTCTAAAAGATGGGAACATGTGTGGTCATATAAGAGGGTTCTAAATTTTGATGCTTTACAAACAATTTTGCATCTTAAATCGAATCGAAATGAACTGGAAGTAGGAAGATCTAGGTACATAAATTGGGTGAACAAAGTCGTGGAGTCGCATCATGGTTCAACCATAGATGAGTTTAGAGTTTCCTTTTGTTTGAATAACTCTTCTAGTTGTGACATTGATAGATGGATTGAGTTTGCAATAACAAAGAGAGTTCAAAGGCTTGAGGTGGACTTCGAACCATGGTGCTTTCATCGAGATGGTGTAGCATATGCTTTTACAAACCGGATTTATATTCACATCAAAACTCCTGCGGGTTTCTCCAGCATTAGGTCTCTAAGATCCCTCTGTTTTAAGTTTGTGAACATAAGTGGAGAAATTCTTGAATGCTTCGTTTCCAATTGTCCTCTTCTTGAATCTTTACATGTAGAAAGCTCGAGAGATTTAGTGAATTTAAAAGTTGTTGGCTCCTCACTTCGGCTGAAGGTTTTGGAGATATCCTTCTGCCGCCATCTGATGGATCTTGAGGTTTGTGCTCCGAGTCTTGTTTCATTTAAATATTTTGGACAGGGCAGCATAATAAATATGCAAATTAAGGATGCATTCCAGCTTGCTGAGGTGTCTACTTCAGATTTCTCTAGGCAAATAGACTATGCTTTTTTCCCGTTTTCAAGCTACTTTTCGCAGCTCGAGAATCTTTCGTTGGGCATGCAGATGACTCAGGTTAGTTGATATTTCTATTGCAATTCTGTGACATGGGCTGTTGGAATGAATTTAGGTGGGAGTAGTGAACATGAAGCAGAGAATATTTCCTGATTGGAGCACTTACTCTCCAAGTACAAGGCTTTGGATATTGGAAGACTTGGCTTACTAGCATAGCTTCCTTGGCCAATATTCTAGAGTACATGTATCTAGTATTTTCTCCTACACATATTTTTGACACATTATTTTTTCTAGAAAGACAATTTTACTAGTACTTATTGTATGACAATATTTCCATCTTCTATAAATTTCTCTATAAAGTTATAAAATAGTACATCAATTTTTAACAGGAGTGTTATTTAATATCTTCTAAAGTTATTTTAGCATAGTGATCATTTTTTATTTTTTTATTATTGTTATTATTTGTTTTTTTGGTGAGGATTACCATAGAATAGTGATCATTGCTTGGTGCTATGTTAAAAACTTGGAACTGCCAACTTCTAGAAAACTGGTTCGAGTATGACTGCAAATACTTTTTGTCGAAAATTATACCAAAGGTTAGGTTCGGATTGAGTAAATCCTCCCAACATCCCACGTAACCCCAACACTATGTAGTGACATTATTTAATTTTGTTAGTTTATGATAAGTTTTGCTTTTCAGGGTAATCGAGGATTCAAACAACTTCCTGAATTTACCAAGCTCAAACACTTGACATTGCATGTTGACGCAGACGAATCTTCAAGCTTTATCGGTTGGACGAACTTGATAAATGCATCACCTTTGCTGCACAAATTTAAATTGCAGGTAAATATTTTTTTGTATACGGGTGTTTTGTATAATGACACATGATAATTATCTCTCCTGTCATCCTCTCACAGCAACGGCCATGGATAGAAGTTACTTGCATTGGATAAAATTGTAAAGTTTTCTTTATATTAAGTTTTCTAATCTTTAGACAAATATCATAAAATTGTAATTTATATAATTGTAGATCATTAAAAAAATTCTGTGTGGGTCCCATCTTGTGAATTACATTGTATTATATCTACTTGTCGTTGAAAGAAAACAGAAACATAAAATCATATCACAATGAAAATATTTTTACGTTGGTCGTTGCTTAATATCTAAATCTCAATTTGTACTAACAGAGTATGTTATTTTAGTTTATTTTAATTTGTTACAGTAGTTCCATAAAGAAAGGCATGAGAGGGTCACAACCAATGCTGACTTGAAGTACACAAAGCTAATATGTCATTTAGTTTTATGGATCTTTAATGTTGAGACAAATTTATGAATTAAAACCATTTGAACCTTGATAACGTTCGACAACCAAAAACATAAAGTATAGCTGAAGATTCATACACATTGAGAATAACGTCATTGATTTATCAATGATTCTTTTAGAGTTTCTAGAAACTTTGTGTTTAGACTTCATATTTCTTGATCTATAATTGCATTAATTCTCAAATAAACTCTTTATGTACAATCTTTCTCGTATACGGAAGAGGGCATAATTAATTGCGTTATTGAGTATCCTTGTAGTTGAGTTTATGTTGGATAGAAAGAGAAAATGAGAGATTTAGAGAGGAAGAAGAGAAGCTCACCGTCTTTCGGAGCAATTCGGACGATGACGTGTAGCATATTGAATCGTCGGTATCATTGTGGATTCCTTAGACCATAAGCATTGAGCTTCAAGGTGGAAATCTTGAGAAATCAATAAGTGTATGTGAAAACAAGCTCAAAATTGTTCATTTGGTGAAGTGTATGCGAGAACAGAGAAGATAAATATTGAGAAATATCTAGACTCTAGTCTAGCTATAGTGGAAGATCTCGAAGAATAGGTATGGGAAACCACTTAAAAATGATTTCATAATTCATTTGGTGTTAGATATTTTGCATTTTTATTTGACTCTATATACTATGTTACCTGGACTTGAGTCTGTGTGTCCGACACGGGTATGTAACCATGCATATCCGACACATGGGCACTATTACATATTCATTTTATTTAATCTTTTTTAGTAAAGTAATATTTTCATCTAATATAGTGTTCAATATATACATTTTAACTCTATTTAAAGTAATAATATAATATAATTGAATGGTTGGATATTCTTTTTAAGTACATGTACATGCTCAAGTGTTGGACACATATCACATACCCATGTCTGCGCAATATGTATCTGACACAGGTACTCCACTACTCTTGAATAGTCCATGTAACTTGGTCTGCATATATATATTCATATATTATACTCTCTATATTACATGTATATATGTTTATATATATTTAGTTGGTGTTAGTTCACAAACATAATAACAGGCTCAGTTCACCAACAAACGAGCCGAGCTTATAGGTGTTTGAGATTGGCTCATTTATTAGACGAGCTTGAGAAAATTGTTTGAGCTCGGTTCATTTACTTAATGAACCAACACAATAGTTTTTATCGAGCCTAGTCTATTTATGATCAGCTTGGCTAATTTACAACCCTAGAATTAAGAGGGTTTTTAAATAAGTATGTAGTGAAGATTGAGGGTCATGAGATACGAAAAGGTGAATAGTTACATTATATTAGCTCAATCATTTATATCGAGGAGGAAATTGGAGATAATGTTGATCATAAAATCAGGGCAAGATGGGTTAAGTAAGGGAGTTCATTTAGTATGTTGTTTGATCTGTGTATCTCGCTAAGATTGGAAGTGAACTTTTATAAAACAACTAATACACCCACTTATCAAAAAAAAGAGCAACTAATTCACACATTGTTCTTTACAGGATAGAATGTTAGGCAGTTAAGAAACAACATATATATAATGTGAGTGCGGCTGTAATCCGAATGTCGTAATTTATGTGCAGTAAGACAAGAAACGACAACTAGGAATGAGCATAAAGTACAACTAGGAATGAGCACATCCATGGGACGGTTAAAGTAACACCAATTGAAGACAAAATGAGAGATTATGTACTAAAATGATTTGGACATGTGCAAAGAAGAAAATCACTAAGTGAGCTAGTTTGGACGAGTGACATGATTCACATTGAAGGTGACATAGGAGAAGACCAAAGTCGAAATGTATAGAGTTAGTAAGGAATGATATGATCACATGTAGTTTGACATTGGTTATGACCTTGAATAGAGCGGAATTGAAAATTTTGGATTCATGTACTGGACTCTAAGTTGTTGAGAGAAAGGCTTTACTGAGTTAATTTGAGTGTAGTACATCTATTGTATAGGACTATATATAACTTCGATTAATTGTCTGCTTTATGTACTAATAATTGCATATGTGGAAGATGAAGCTGAATATATCTTAAAAATTTACATATATGCAACATTTTTGCTAATTACCTATCATATTTTTTAGTTGCAATTATATAGTTGTCCAATGCTACTAAGTGTTAATTGCATGTTTTGAGATATGTTGGCATGTTTCAATGTTTGTTGGGGATGGCTTTTCTAAGACGTGTTTGTGTCATGAGTCACGACCTGCTCAACCCGTGCATTATGACGTCCCACATCTCCTAGGGGGAGAGGCTTGATGACACTTATGTGTGGACATCCCCTTATTGTGGTGAAAGGCATAAAAGAGGTGCTGGTAGAGCTAATTCTAAAGTAGAACTGTGATAAATATTTGTCCACTATTCTTTGTAGTGTGAAGAGCACAAAATTTTTGTACATGGAAACTTTTAACATACCACTTTAATGTAAAGCAACACTCTGCTATGATTAGAAGTAATTAATCGGAAGTTATCGTGTTTGACAATAGAATAGTAACTTACTTATTTGTACTGAACTGCTTGTTTGGATGTCATAACTGTTCCATTAATACTTCTTGGGTCTGCCCCTGTTTTAGTTGTTGAGTACCAAAATGCAATGGGACTGCTTTTGATTTGGCTGGTATATTTTCTTGAGTTTGAAATGCCTTATTTTATGTGCTGTACCATTTCTTTAACAATAGAAGTAATTAATCGGAAGTTATCGTGTTTGACAGAATAGGAACTTACTTATTTGTACTGAACTGCTTGTTTGGATGTCATAACTGTTCCATTAATACTTCTTGGGTCTGCCCCTGTTTTAGTTGTTGAGTACCAAAATGCAATGGGACTGCTTTTGATTTGGCTGGTATATTTTCTTGCGTTTGAAATGCCTTATTTTATGTGCTGTACCATTTCTTTAACAGACTTTTAAGATTATTGCTACAAGTCTGTTTTGAACTTACCAGGAATATATATATACATATATATGTGTGTGTCTTCTCTCAGTCTTTATTTTATGCCTTTTGGTAGTGTTTTAAAAGCTTTACACAATCAATTATATATATATATATATATATATATATATATATATATATATATATGTTTAAGGAAAATGATTCTTAAGGCGACTTCTCAAACCTATTTGTATAACCGAAGGGTTACCATCCCTTTGATGTAGTGAATGAGATTCACATTTAGCATATCCACTATATCATGGATAAAAACCCCTTCAGTTACACTCTTGGCCAGACAAATAGGTCTAAATAGGCATTACTCATATATTAAACAAGCATGATTCACCGCTTTTCTGTTTCACAGTTACAATATTCGAGGCATTGGGGGAAGGAAAAAATAAAAATGCATGAAAGTAAAAGGCGTAAAGTTGGCAACTGCCCCCATGGATGCCTAAAGGAGGTGGAATTGGCTGGGTTTGTTGGCCGGCTTCTTGACCTTGAGCTTGCCAAATACTTGATTAAGAATGCCATCAAATTGGAGAAGATTACCATTGATCGTCACTGGGAATATTCTTCGAGTGCTCGAGCACCGCGGGTGTTCAAGGAAACCAAGAAGAAACTTTATGCAAAAGAGCTTGCCATGCAGCTCCAAGAAAGTTTACCTGCAAGAGTCAAAATGGAAATTATTTAATCCTCCTCAACTGCATTTGGCTGCTTAATGTTTAGTTTTTTTCGTACTTGTAAGATAATTTAATTATTTTCTTTGCTATTTGTTCGTCGTACTTCTAGGAGAGTTTCATGAATGTGTCTGTAACTGTTATTAATACATCTAGTCTATCTTTTTTCTAGCTGGGGAATGGTTGAAGCGGTGGTACTGAATGCTCTGGGATAATAATAATCGGAGAAAAGATTAAAAATAATAATTTAATAGGAAATGACAAATTTAATGAGAAAAAGTAAATTAGTTTTTGTTCTTAATTACAATAAATCATTAATTCAGGAGTGTGTTGTCTAACTAATGTTATTGTCTCGACGTCTATGTCACAGAGACGTCATTGTCGTCTTGCGCTCTCTGGAATCGTCATCATCTCGCCGGGTTGGATTTTTTGTGCTTTTAGATGTTTAGGATAAATAGAATGACAAAGTGTTCCATGGAATAATATGGAGAACTATCAAGTGGAGGATCTAGACCATCTTAAATTAGGTGGAAGAAATTGTCCAATGCAGGAGTGAATGAGTCATTTTGCACTTTCATTTACGTAGTTGATTAATTTTTTTTCATTTTATTTTCATAACCTGTCACACGCAAATCAATTTTTTTTGAAAAGTAACACACGCAAATCATATATCAATTTATTCACACTATATATGAATTAAATTTGAATATTCAAAATTAAGAGTTGAACATTTTATAAACAAGGCCATTGAATAATGTCCCTAGTTCAAATAAGTACAAGACAAAATAAACCATTTTTCTCTAAGATAGAACTTAGAAGTACCCTTCATTTTAAAGTCTACTTATGCCCCTCATTTATTTTCAATTAACACAATTACCACATAAAATCATTTTATTTTCAACTTAGCACAACATTAATTTCACATCACAGGATGGCTGATAAATTTCTGAATGGGAGTACTATAAAAAAGACTGGCATCGTCGGAATCTGCAACCCATCTGCCGCCACCACAACTACCACTAGTAACACCCATCCATCATCGAAATATGCAACACCCATCCGTCGTCGTCCTCGGAGTGTCATCGGAATCTATAAACGTTGGAGTCATAGTTGCGAGCCTCTGTTAAACCAGCGGTGGTCGTCCTCGGAGTGTTCGCAGCTTCGTCATCGGAATCCGTCCGGCGACCTCCTCCCCGTGATTGTCTTCTTCCATGGTGGCGTCGACGACAACCACAGCCCTCTGTTCTCTCTCCACCGGCAAAGCCCTCTGATATATAGATAGAGAGAGAGAGAGAGAAAAAAAAAAAAAAAAAATGGGTTCATTATATCAATTTTGGGGCATTTTTTTCCAGTCAATTTCAATTCCAAATTTCAACTCAGAGCGTCAACGAACCCACCAACGAAGCTCCGAACAGAAATGTCCATGGACTCCAACCGTCGTGCTTCATCTCCGTTCCAATGTCTCGATGGTAGGTGGGTGTAAGGTATAATGGTCCTTTAAGCAGTCTGATATTTTGGAATAAATGAAATTAAAAAATTAGGGTTAAAGTAGTCTTTATCCATGTATTTAACGGAGCAACGAAAAAATAGAATTAGACCTAAGTCACAGTTATTTTCTAAAGATATTTGAGGATAAAAAATGACCAAAGAAGAAGTGTTAATGAAATTAACCCAAATACCTATTAACACAGTAAAATCCATGAAATCATATCTACCTTCAAACCATTAATTTTACAACATGGTTGTATGAGTTCTCTTGATAAGTGCCCAATAAACTACCAAGCCATTGACCCAAATGTATAACCTATCCTCCCCAAAAGGGGTGTGAGGGTTCAATATGCTGGTATGGTTTGGTATGGAAATCACCAGTTTCTTGGACAGTAACACCAGGTGACAACGAGTGCATTGATCCAAGATTTCCCATAACACCAACAGTTACCTCTACCCATCTACTATGTCCTTCCCACAATAGATGATCTGCATTTTCATTTGTGGATTTGGATGAAACAATTATCTCGTCTGTCTCAAGAAAGGTTCAAAGATTAAGTGCTCTGGCGGAGGGTTTGGCATCTCAATTACTCCATGTGCCTATGTGAGTCAGCAAGAGAAATGTAAAATATTGAATGTTAGTAAAAGTCAAAGATGGAATTAAAATTAGGCAAAAAGCACAGAAATATCACAAATTTAATACATTTTCGTACCATCTAAAGATAATAAGAACACATGCAAATCAATATGAAATCTTTTATTTACTTTAGTAGAATCTGTTTTATAATAAAAATGATAATGAACAACAACCAAAATGTTTCCTGGGAATGAACTTTATCCCTTATAATTTATAATTATATAATTAGCATTTACGGAACATTGATAGTCAATTTTAATTTTTCTCAAAAAAAAAAAAAAAAATCTCTCATTCTATAAAATAGTAATATATTATTATTTTTATTTGAAAAACATTTGGAAAATTTTATAATATATTCAGAAATTTAACTAAGTTTAAATTTATAAATTGGTCAAAAAAATTCATTTACAAAATCATTTTTTACGACTTAATGCTGTCCATTTTGAATTTAAAATTATTAAAAAAGAAAATTTAACTTTTCTTTTCTTATAACAAAAATTCAAAATTAACATGTCTCATACCTCACGTTGGGACGAGGTTCCTCCTCACCATAATTTTTAAATATTAACTTTAGGACACGTGTCAACTTTTCTTTGGTCCATATCACCCAACAGGAGCCAGCCTTATAGGGAAGGAGGAAATATTGTTATCGGAGAAGATTCCTCCTCAGTCCTCACCTCACCGGTGAGGAGAGGAGTAGTGTTTAGGACTTACAGGTGTGTATAAATATATATATGTATATATACACCTGTATATGATCAAGAACTGATCTTGCAGAGTTGAGCGATATTCCATGCTCCGCAAAGGGACCTCCGTAGATGAGTCCTACTCTCAGAATCTTCCCTCTCTCTTTCCCCTTCTCCAATTCCACAATTTGATCATCAAGAATCTCAGTAGAGGCGCCAGTCATTCCACACCATCGCCTCAGCGACAAAGTACCCTTCACCGATACATTCAACGGCAGAGAAACAACACTTCTCCGAGCAGAGAGGAGATTTTCCGGCGAATCGGTTGGAAAAGGAGGTTAAAAGAGCGAAAAAGAAGAACAAGCCATTCAAGGGAGAGCTAGGGTTTGTGAAGAGTGAGTGGAGATAATGGATAGAAGTGGTTAATTGTTTTAGGTTTTGGGTTTGGTATATCTTGAAGACTTGAAAGTGGCCATGGCGATGAGCATTAGTTTCACTGTATAAGAGTTGTTGAGGAAAAATTTGATGTATAATTTCTTTACAACTTTTATTTTTAAAAAATTAAATTGTAACTCATATAATTAAGGAGAAAGTTAAAAATTGTGGAGACAAAGTTAAAATTACCCCCAACTGAAAATAAAAATAAAAAATAAAAAAATTGTCTACGTTTGGGTTAAGATTTTGGACAGTGCATGTGAATTTTTTTTTTAGATTGCTAATAAATAAGTACCCACTTATTTTTCTAATTAGTAAGAAGAAGAGTACAAGGAAAACAAGATGGGCTCAAAGAAAGTGAGAAAGGGAGAAATATCCATTGCAAATTTGAAACCAACAGTGATGAACTAATGAAGATAATTTCATTCTAAAATACAATGAAAAAAAATTATCATATCATTACTAATTTACTATTTGGTTTGCAATTTTCAGATTGTACTTTATAAAGCAATTTAAAAAGTGTAAGAAAAAAAGTAACCATCTTTCAACTATTATAAGTCCAAACTTAAACTTTTGGGTAAGATCTTCGAAGCTGAAGCTTAAACCATGTTTTTTTGGTAGCATTTTGCATTGGAATGGTAGAATTTAAAAAAAAAAAAAAATTGATGGTTGTGTCAAAAAATAGCATTTTTTATGATTATTTTTTTTTTTCAACTACCATTCCAATGCAAAATGCTATTATTGTATGCCAAAACTATATTTTGATAAGTGTTACAGTGTCAAAATGCTACATTTTAACAATTCTGCTCTAATGGTGCATTTCATCTGGATCACAAATTAAATGGTAATCACTGGTCCATGCCACCTAAAAAACAGGTAGTATGACAAAAAGAAATAACCCCTCATTAATTTACATAACATTTTAGCTTATGATCTCATAAACAAAAGCTAAGCCTGGAGTTCCACCCTCTCAATTTCCAACATAAGAGCGCGCGCACACAATGCATCAGCATCATTACACCAGATATAATATAGTTACCAAAAAATTACCAAATATAATACAAACACTAACCAAGATTTTCTATGCTCACATTGATAATTTTAGAGAGAGAAAGTAGAAATGAAAGATACAAGGAGAAAATTGAAATAACTTAGTCCCTTCAATTCCAAATTGGAAGAGATGTACAACGTGAGATTGAAGACACTCCAAATTTTCTGGAGGGTAAGGTTCGGTATACAAACATCTGCCCCAAAATCCCAAACTCAGTACAAGAAAATTGTGAATCATTACGATACATATACATTTATATTATATATAACAACACTTACGTGACTGACTGATTTCAAATTGAGGGTTTCAAAAAATGGGAAATTGGAGGATTGAGGAAAGCCGGATCTGTAAATGCCATCTTCGACCATGGAGAAATTGGTGGGTGGAACCAGAACGACGTCGCCTCGTTCTTCTTCATCATCAATAATCAAACCCATTTGGGTTTGGTGCTCTGTTTTCTGGAAAGGTTTCGATTAGTGCAGGGAGGGTCAAGAAAAATAAGAAGACATTGTGGTACTGGGTACAAAAATAGGGCTTTGTATTGAGAGGTAGATATACAAACACACACACACATATATATATATAGAGAGAGAGAGAGAGATTGAAGTCAGATTTTGTAAATGGCAACAAACTTGTCATTGCAGATGAGAGGGAGAGAGAGACGACAGGGCAACGCAATGAAAGGGACAGAGATAGAATGGAACGAAAGGTAGAGGAGAGACGGATACTGAGGGAGATAGAGATGACAGAGGAATTAAGAGACTTGCCAAAAAAAAAAAATTTGGCAGCTGCAAGATTTGAGAGTGGATTTGAGAATTTCAAATTTTGAGAGCCCAAATGAGAGCCTATTGGAGAGCTCACTTTTTAGCCACCT